CCTTAGCCAAATATGTCAAAACAACCGTCGGCGCTATTGTCCCTGACAGAACAACACCTTCCTTTTCCGTCCATCATCCTGCTCTTTGCTCTTTGCTCCTCCCGGCTCCGCTATTGTGCATAAGCCTCACTTCCCTATACCCTGAGGCCTTATACGGCTCTAGTCGCTCCTCTATTTGTTGCACGTACATTGCAACTGGCACATCTACTTTATCCGTCCCTCAATTCTGGACGTGATGGTTCTTGGATGGTTCCGTTGCACCTCGGATACTTCTCATGATTAATGAAAGCTGCTCTATGTCTGCATTCCCCGCACAATTGATACATCCAGAAATATCTCAATTCTTCTGCCCAAATCCATGCGCCCGCAACGACGATCTGAAAATTAACTCTACTGCCTCCGCGCATTCGACATGGATGATCTTCACTTCCAACAACCTTCTGCAAGGTCTTCCATCCGGCACTTGTTTATTATCTTTTCATCGCCGAGACACGCAGCTGTCTGCAGCGTGTAAGTAATCGGCAGATCACCCAACAAGACGTATAGTTGCCCGTCGTATTTTACCGGGGTCAAATGCTGTACTCCTGGCCTTCCCGTCAAGTGTCCGATGCCTGACATGCGTAAACTCAGTGCCTTTTGTTTCGCTCTCCTCAAATACACAACACGCAGCGTCCTTCAGCACTCTAGATTCCGCCGATCCAGCGTATAGGCAGCAGGCACTCCCACCTGCGAAGCGCTTCTGCGATCAGAACAATAGTACCTACGAAGCCTACAGTCCTCGAATATCCAACATGGAGACCCGCGGCCACTGGAAATAGGCACCTTACTATGCATACCAGTACAGAAAATTCCCAGCCCATTTCAGCAGAGGCGTTCATTGTTCTTCCGAGTCGGATGCGGATGCTGCCGCTATCTATAATCGCTGATGGAAGAGGAAGGGTGGAGCGGTTTCAACTAGGGGGACACTGACAAACAAGTGAATGACCAGCCTCAAGCCTTCACCGACTCTGTCTACCAATTCGGGCGCCCTATGATTCTGAATCTCAGGCCGTCGCGAGGTTCGTATAAATGCGATAACGTACAAGCTCCTAGCTCCATGTTTGGACCAAGTAATCTATATCTTAATCGCTAGCGATGGGTGAGTGCGTCCAGGAGCGCGGTATATTCACCATCGGTCCATCGAGGAGGCAAGATCCTGCTCTTGCTCTTTCCTCCTCCCGGCTCCGCCATTGTGCATACTACTGAGCCTCACTTTGCTATACCCTTGGCTTTACGCGGCTCTAGTCGAGTCTTCTAGTTGTTGCGCATATATTGCGACTGGCATATGTACTTTATCCGTCGTTCTTCAACCAACTGGCAGCTACGTCTGGACGTGGTGGTTTCGTTGCACCTCGGATACTTCTCATCATTAATGAAAATCGCCCTACGTCTGCATGTCCTCGCACAATTGAGTGACCTAGGCCTTGATCCAAAAATATTTCATTTCACTCAGTTGAACGGCCCGCAAGGCATCGGCCCAAATCCACCCCGCCCAAAACAACGGATTGAAATTTGGCTCTACCTGCCTCCACGCCTTTGACATGGATGATTCCCACTTCCAACAGCCTTGTAATTACAAGGTCTTCCATGCGGCAGCTTTTCACGCACCTATCTGGATCGTGTAAGTACTCCTCGGCACTTAACCTAACAAAACGTATAGTTGCCCGTTGTATTTGCCGGGGCAATTGCTGTACTCCTACCTTGCCTTCCCGTCAGGTGTCCGATGCCTGACATGCCAAAACTCATTGCCTTTTGTTTTGCTCCCCACGACTACGCTGCAAGCAACGTCCTTCAGCATTATAAATTCCACCGATGCGGCCTGCAGGCGCCACGCAACCGCAGCTGAGAAGCGCTCCTGGGATCAAATAATAGTGCATCTGCAAGGCCTGAGGTCCTCTAGAACCTGTAGCCTCTATGATCCTCTTGCAAGAGGGTGGTAATCTACTGCACCACATGCTCATGAAGTTTGTCGACAACGAGCACTGGACGAGACAACAGAACGAAACTTGTCCATGCTGCATCGGAACACGATGCGGCGCGCCACTTTGACCGCGATGTCTCCTCAACAGTGGCGCATCGAGTCTGAGGCCGTCGCGACGTTCGTCTGAATGCGATAACATACAAGCTCCATGTTTCGGACCGATAGTCGCTAGCGAGTGTCCAATAGCTCGTTGTGGTCATCCTCTCCGTCAAGGGCATATCCTAGTCTGAAGAGATTAAGTTGTGGGATTGTGTTCGCTAATCCAACTCTCTCTCTTCAAAGCTTTGAGCCGTTGAAATTCAACAAGAGTCCAACATCCGTGGCCTGATGGTCTAGTAGTATGATTCCTTGTTAGGGCTTCCCCCAGAAACCAATCGAGGAGGTCCTGGGTTCAATTCCCAGTCAGGCCCTTCCAGATACATCTCCTCTTTTTGCCACCGATTTTAACATTGACACGAACGAAACGAACACTTCCTGGAGCCTGCTGCCTGGGCCTGCCAGGACCTGGGTGGACCATCCCCATATCTCTGCTTCATATTGCTGTGTATTTATTCGTGCCATTCTGTAAATCCTAACCGAAAGCAAGCAGACACCCCTCCTACATCGATGAACCTTTCTACTGCAAGACGAAACAACAGCAATACTTGTCTAGCATGAATGGAAGGCCGGCTTCCTCTCTCCACATCGACCAATCCACTGTCTCCGGTAGGTCCGCCCTGACCCCGGCAATTTCGCGTTTTAGGAGCTGGGTTTCAAGGTCGAGCCACTGAACTTGAGATGGCTCTAGCGACGTCGTGACCTGCTGAAGCACATGCTCATGATGTTCGTCGACGATGAGCGCAGGGCGAAAAGTCGGAATTGCCAGCCGTCATATATCCGTATCGCAAGTAGGATGAGGTTGTCTTCACCATATCGATGGTTGGTTTTGGGACCCTGACTCTCTGGCGGACATCAAGAAGGAGCGAGACTTATCAGTCCTTTGGCAACTGGGAAGTACGTACTACTCGAGCGAAACGAATACTCCCAAGTACGGTGTACCCTACCTCCATGGACCATCCCCGTATGCTTCATATTACCGTGTTTTTCATTGATGCTATTCTCGATATCCTATCCAGAAAGCTATCAAGCACCCCGAAGTACTTACCTCCATTCCTGTACCTCTGCTTCTTATTGCTGCGTTTTTCGATTCATGGTTCTTTTCCATATCCTACATCGATAAACCTTCCTACTGCAAGACGGAACAACAGCAAAACTATGCTAGCATAGATGGAAGGCCGACTTCATCTCTCCACATTGACCACGCGACTGTTCCCGGTAATTCCACCCTGCCCAGAGCACTTCCGCGTTTCACGAGGGTTTCGAGGTCGAGCCCCTGAGCTTGAAAGGGCTCGAGCGACATCTTGACCTGCTGAAGCACATGCTCATGATATTCGTCGACGGTGAGCGTAGGGCGAAAAGTCAAAATTCCTCGTGGCAACGACCTCTCCATGGTAGACTCATGGTCTCGAAGCCACCTCGAGCGTATGGCCTCGACATATGGAGGAGCCGAGAATGTCGGGAGGTTCGCTTCTGCTCGCTGAAACGTGATGATGGACAACTTAAATAGCCGAAGATGAGGAACGATAATGGGTGCATCATCGCCTTTCCCTGGCATGGGGACGATAAGTGCGTTCAGGAGCTCGTCATGGTCACCTTCGCACTCAAGTATCAGCCCGACCAGGTGTGGGGTGATGCGAAGGAGACGTAGCACATCATTATCGTGAATCTGCTGTTGCTGCAAAATCAGCACTCTGAGGTGCGCGGCGGTTTGTCGATAGAAGTGGAGAGGCTGCGCCGTTGGCGGGAATCCGAGGTGCACGGACTCACTTACCACGAGCAAGGAGATGAGCGACGGGCAGGTGAGGCCCGTAAATACGGTGGGGGAGGCTGGTGTAAGGAATGCTACTGCGAGATCCTGGAGGCGGTCTAATGTAACAGGCGGTAGAAGTTCTGCTGCATCTTCATCATCATCGATTTCGCCCTCCTCAGATGCATCTATGAAAAGTTCGACACAGCATTTTGCAGTAGGGGGCATGCTCGGATGATGTCGTGCCATGCTTGCAGGGAGACCTCCTCCTGAATACAGAGGTGCGTCATTTGATCCCATGGAACGTGAAAGCGGGAGAGGTTGTCGAGGCGGAAGCTAGGAAGGCGAAGTCGGAGCATGTGAAAGTTCGCGGCGGGCCGTAAGATGAGGTGTGGCATTGTTGGCAGGTGAGGGGCTTATTCGTGGATTTCCAAGCTGACACTTTCCAGAAGATCCATGTTTCCGGAGGGGGGACCAAACCAGGTGTGCAATTGGCCCTCGTTGTCCACCCGCATGACGAGCTCGCGAAGATTGGAGGGCAGAGGGAAGACGACTCGCTCGTCAAACTCTTCCGGAGGAAAGTCACCGGAAGTGAAATCCCAGTCTACCTGGAAGTAGAATGGGAGGTGCCTGCTTGAGTGTTTAAACCAGTGTGTCGTAGCTTCAAAAAACCTCCTCATGTTTGTGCCTAGCGGTTCTCTGGGATATGAGGGGTCCGGGGAGGACAAGACGATCCCAGAGCCTGGGCATCTCGAGTGCTGCAATCCTCCATGCATGGCATACATGGCAGAGGAGGAGCGGTGCATCCAACGCGTTCGGGCGGGAATGATATAGGCCCCGGGGAAGGCAGAGGATAAACGTTTCCCGGAGTATGTCGAAGGGTAACTTGTTGACATGACATGGATTAGAGTGGCCTTCCATCTCGTCAGTACTGGATATTTCAAGAAAGAATCACAGGGTGTCCAACTCAGGTTGACGGTGTCCTAGAAGGGAGACAGACCCCTTTAGGCATAAATGCGCAATCCGACAAGCGTCATAGATATAGAATTTAGGTGTGAACGGTCCTCATGGGCGCAACTGCAGGACTCAGATTGGGGTACAACGTATTTGTTTGGATGGCTGAGCTTAACACGTGGCCTGATGGTCTAGTAGTATGATTCCTTGTTAGGGTTTCGACTCATATCGAGGAGGTCCTGGGTTCAATTCCCAGTTAGGCCCACGACGTTTCTTTTTCAGCTCTTTCGGTATAGTCAGATACTATCATATTATTCACGGTAATACTATAATTATATCTCGCCTCGAGGTTCAAGATGATTGAAGATTTTCCAAGAAATGGCGTGTACCAGCAAAGAAAAGGTCCAGCAGAGCAAAGCCAATGCAAAAGAGCCAAAATACTAAGGTTCCCTAGTCGAGGGCAACATCCATCCCCTCAAGATCGCCCTGCTCATCTTCCTCAGCATCATCCCCCTCCTCCGCCACCGTATCCCGGAAGCTCTGCTCCAACGCAGGAAGGTAGTAGTTCACCTTCCACATATTTCCAATCGCCAGATTCGCTTGGTCGAATGCGAGCGCCACAATGGGCTCCCTAGCCCTACCGCCCTCCCCGATGGGGATCTCGCTGGGCTTTGCGATGACCGAGGGTGGCATCTTCGGGTAGCGGGCGGAAAAGTGCGTGAGGAGTATATGCTCGGCGTCCATCCTGAGGAGAGAATCAAAATTAACATGTCGCATCGTGTGGTTGGCGTTGTGCTTACCGTTTGCCGATATTGATGGCTTGCCCGAACGTGCTGTGCGCCTTTTGCGCTGCCATCTCGGTCTGGTCGTCGGCCATCGTCGCTTCGTGGATCAGGAGTGTTGCCTCCTTGCCCGCCCATACCAAGGAATTTGTTGGTTGTGTGTCCCCAGAGAACCTTGAAAAAAGCCTTTAGATTTACGAGGAAACGAGTTGACATGGAACGCACACAACACTCCAGCCGTCAGTGTGCTTGATGACGGCACCGTAGCACCTTGTCCTATGCAAGACATCAACGGTACTGAACCTCTCAAGGCTGAGGTCTCGGCGCATGTTGCTCGCATTCTGCTGTGATCTACAATTTGGTTCACAATGATCAAAAGACGCTGTTGAAGGGTATGCATGTCACTTACGTCTCGAAGTCGGTCCATGGTTCAGACCCTCCGACTTGCCACATTCCATGTGTCTGATACGCGCCCGTGTTCCTCCAATGAAGGGATTCGGCCATGACCGGAACGACACCCTTGCCTGATGGGTCGTCCAGCCCAAGGTTCTGTAGATCCGAGAGCTCGCGAATGTAGAGGTGCACTGCACGGATGGTGACAAGGTAGAGTGGCGAGGATGGCGGCGGATCAAGCTACAAAGAGACAAGAACAGTTTCAGCTATAATAACTCGGGAACATAGTGAAGTCGCGTACCAGTCGTCGTTTCGCGAGAATCTGCGCGAGGCCCATGTGGTGGTCCCCATGAACATGGCTGATGTAAATACACTTCAGCTCCCTCAACATGTTCCACACATTGTCGGGCGTCTCATCGTCTAGGCCAAACTGGCGCGCGAGCTGCCCCCAGGTGCCTTCTCCTGCATCCAGCAGGATGTTGCCCCAATTGGGGATCTGTAAGAGAGTGGAGGAGACTGGGACCATGTTCAGATGGGAGTCCAATCATCAATGAGATAGCACCGACGAACCGTTGCGATACTTTGATGGGACCGCACTGCCAGTACCTAGAGGGATAACCTTAACATCGGCACCCTGAGGGACGTGCAACTTCCCGCTTGCAATGTGCTCCTCGACGTTCTTCTTTGCATCTGCGAATTTCTCGGCAGTCTTGGATGGTAGGGTAGGGGCCTTGCCGCACGAAATCGCGGTGTGGAACGAGTCGTGGGTATTTTCAAGAACTGGTGGTGCAGGGGTGCGCATATTCAGCAGTTGGCTCGACGTCAAAAGGCGTGCCGTTGCCGGAAGATTAGGGATAGCTGAAAGGGAGGACGGGTTGGAATCTGACACGCATCACGAAAGACAAGTCTCAACATACACTCAAGACTTTTCTTCGCGAATAGAGAGAATTTAGGAAGCGGGAAGATTTCAGGATCAAGTTGGTTCATGCGGAGTTGGTTAAATGCTGCGCTTGTAAATGTGACTGGGTCGGGCAAGTGCTCACGAGAAGCGATTAGATGCTGGCGACGAAGATTATGAGACAACGACGAAGAAAGCGTTGATTCTCTCACATGTACATGGGGCGCGAAGCCATTCATAAAAGCAATATATCTCTCATCTTCTAACACACCTTGACCACAAAGGTGAAAAACAGACCGGACTGAATACTCGTCGATGTCCTCTGGACGTTGAGAACGGAATTTAGCGTAAAATGGAGAGTCTTCAAATGAGGAAAGCAAAGCCGGAATATGCATCGTAGTCGGGATGTCGAGAATCAAGATCGCCTGATGCATAGAGACACATAAATGCGAGCGCATTTTGAGAAAGAATATAACTCACCCCTGGTGCTTCACTTTCGCCAATGCAGTCCTCGGGGCGCACCGTCCTCTCTACCATCTCACCATCAACCTTGACTTTAAATGTGACCGTCATTCCCTTCGTTAGCTGCCCTCGCAGAGGGCCAGATGGAACGCCCAGAGCAGTCGCCGCTCGGACGTCAAATTTCCCCCGAATACGCGGACCAACGACAATGTAAGCCATTGTTGGCGTGGCCGGCGCTTCCAGGGGTAACGCTGGGGTATGTGGAGTGAGTTTTGGGAGCTGGTTGTGGTATCCGACGGGGAGACGCGCTCGTCTATAGGGATCAATCTGAGTAACCCTGTCAGCGTGATTTCTCATTCCACGTTTTAAGCCTACACACATTTGCAACAACTTCAGGTGCCGCTCCTACTGACGACACCACTTCTGAAGGTGTCTTATCGCTAGCTTGTGGTGACACTTGAGGCTCTGGTATTGTGACATCTTCGACGATAGGTGCGTCTGACGGAGTTATAGGTTCGGCCACTGACCAGGAAGGTATAACCAGGTGACGCACCAGTAGCTTTTTGTTTTGACTTCGAATTTTTATCTTTACGCGCCTTTCCCTTCGGGGCGTCGCGGTCACGAAGTACCCTCTCAGGCTTGGCTTTTGTACCAGGGAACATGGTTTTGATCATTAACCGCCTCCACTCCTGCGCAGCCTCTCCTTCCAGAGAATGTGGCGAGAATTCGGGAACCTGCCTTACCTTTTCTAGAGAAGGCGAAGATGATGCAGCGTCCGTGGACATCAAGACTGGTCGTTTTGCAGGAAGATCAGGAGATGGATCTCGTTTCCGTTTCTGACTGGCTCCAATACTTTGGATGGAAGAATCCTCGGGCATTGAGATGGGAGAGGAATCACTGGGCTCCGAGGCAGGCAGTATAGGAATACCATACACAGTGATATTGTCATCGCTGTATAAAGGATCGGGGGATGAAGACGACGATGGGGTCCAAGAAGACTCGATGGGATTGATGGTCAGAGTATCTCTATTTTCAAATTCCAATTTGCTTCTAGCTCATGAAAGAGAGGAAATACCTGTAGGTATATAGTCGCATCGCAGACATAAAGTGCAGTAAACCAGGTGGACCGACGATATTTAGGCGAGGAATTGTCGCATCCGCAAAAGACATCAACAGTCCTTGAGGAGAGAATTAACAACGCGATTAGACGCGTTCCGTTCCTTATGAAAACGGCAAAACATACCAGGAAGCCCACTAGACCTCTTCGTCCCGATATCCGTAAAGAACAACCCCTTGGTTCTTTTCCAATTGCCTCTGCTCTGTAGAAACGCTCGGTTCGTGTTTTCGCCAGCATTGAAGATATATTTCGCGGAGTCGAAAGTGACGATGATGGTGGGCTCGGTGTCAGAAGAAAGGGTGGTGAGGACGGAGGCAGACCAGTTCATAGCTTTCCCTTTTTCGCCCGTGTCACCCAGAGTTGAGTAAAGTCTGCGAGAGAGGGCAGCTCTACAGAATCTATGCGACCTCGCAAATGCTGCAAGTACCCCCAGCTTGTTGATAAATTAAGCAAGTGTTCAAAGTTATCGTTCCAAACTAGGCTGCTGCAAAGAAGCATGGCGAGCTTGCTTGGACTTGTTTTTTGCGGTTGCCTTCGGGGACGGACACATGCGGATCGCAGGCGTGATCGGGCATGACATGTGCGCAGACTTCAAGTTAGACTTTCCTTTGGACTACCTGGATCCGATTGTGCTTCGCCTCGTCGGCGTGCCCTGTACCTAGGGAACTGCAAACCCAATGTCGTATTTCTGCCGAAATATCTGCCTAATCTCCCTGCTCTCTGTCTGGTTTCTCCGATCTGCTTCCGCTCATGGACACCATGACGAGCTCACAGAAGAACAGGCCAAGGCTCCGGTGGATTCTATCCTCTGGATCCATATAATCTTACAGGCATCTATCTGGGGGATTCTTTTTCCGATTGGTATGGTGCTCGGGATCACTCGGAGTCGATGGCATGTCCCCCTCCAGGTATGTACCAAAACTTGCACAGAATTAGACGAGGTCAATAATACCGTTACGCAGAGTACTGGCTTCCTATTAACAATAGCAGGATACATCTTAGGCCACTCACACAAAGGCCGAATGTTCCTGCCTTCTGTGCACGGCTCGTTCGCCTCGATACTGTTCGTTCCCATCGCAGCACAGCTTTTATTGGGAATCTATCTCAAGCTACATATCCATGAAAAGAGTATCAGGCCATGGGCGGTGATAGCGCATGGGATCGTAGGCAAAGCATACCCAGTCCTAGGCTGGACACAGATGCTTTTCGGTGCTTTAACTTATCGCGGCTACTGTCGTGGAGGCGCGCTTGGTATGTCTGTGTAGCAAACATCTCCTGTCTATGAGGTCTAATTCACCCTAAAGGACAATGCCTCGCTCACTACATCATGGGCAGTGGATTTATTGCTTATGCTACGATAATGGCTATCATACTACTCGTCGGTGAGGCATGGGTAAGGCGGAGTGGCCGCAGTCCTGAATGGTGGGATTCATGGTGAGTTCCCGCGAGCTTCATCCAGGCTGTGTAAGGTTCTCATAGCACCCATCAAGGGTTATCATGCTTTGGGTAAGTCTTGACCACCTTATTAGTCGCACTGTACTTATCATATGTAAAAGGGCATCGGTGAGCGCATAACCTTTACATACGGGTATGGTACTGACTATCCATAGTT